AGAAAATTACTTAAGTACCTCTAAGATATTTTCAAGTATTTTTGTGGGAATTTAATTTCTACTAACATGTTTTCTCTGGTCACATTTGAATAATGGTCAGAATAGCTAAATTAAAAAATTGTTTAAAGAATTGTTGCTTGTAAATATCACTTCTTCGATACTGCAATTAATTTTGTTATTGTTGTTGTTGTTGTTGTTTTGAGACTGTTTTCGCTCTGTCACCCAGGATGGAGCGCAGTGTGTGATGTTGGTTCACTGCAGCCTTCTCTCCCCGGTTCAAGCGATTCTCCTGTCTCAGCGTCCAGAGTAGTTGGGATTACAGGTATGTGCCACCATGCCCGGCTAATTTTTGTATTTTTAATAGAAACAGCATTTCACCAACTTGGCCAGGCTGGTCTCAAACTCCTGACCCCTAGTGATCTGCCTGCCTCTGCCTCCAAAGCAATTAATCTTCTAAATACTTGCTTAATGATATAATTCAACTGGCATAAATATAAATTATTTCTCACGGATGTTACTGAGAAATAAAAGAATACATAGCCATGCCCCATATGAACAAATGGTTATGGCTACAGTCACCAAATTATTCTCTGAATAAATCATGACAGACTTAGAGATAAGCGTGAGTGATATAATATGGGGGGGGGGAGGGGGCTATAGCCATGCTACTAAGAACCAAATCCTATTAAAATCAATTTGTGAAACTCATAAGCCTTTAATCCAGTATAATCTGTTCTGCACTAACATGATAGCTGAAATCCCATGAAACCCCTCATTATCAAAAAGTGCATTTTAAAAACAATTTCATTGAGGAATGGAGATTTGGGGTGAGTAGAGGTTAAAGTCTTAAGAAGTTCTCTAAATTTAGCGATAAGGGGATCACTGGCATCTACTACTTAAATATTTAAATTTTTTGGATTTGTGGGTTTATACTTTTCACCAAATTTGAAAAACTTTAAACTTTAGCTTTTATTTCTTCAGATATTTTTCTGGCTCAGCAATCTCTCCTCCCACCAAAACATACTCCATTTGGGACTGTAATCATACATTTATTAGGTCCCTTGAAATTGTCTTAAGGCTCACAGATGCCATTTTCATATTTTTAAAGTTTTTAATTTATACATGAGTCAAGGACTCCATATGCTGTCCAGGCTGGCCTCGAACTCCTGGGCTCAAGTGATCCACCCACCTTAACCTCCCAAAGTGCTGGAATTATAGGAGTGAGCCACTGCGCCTGGCCCCATTTTAGTATTTTTAAAATTCTTTATTTTCTGTGTTTCATTTTGGATGTTTCTATTGCTGTATCTTCAACTAACACCAATTCTTTCTTCTGCAAAATTTAATCTGCTGGTAATTCACCATAGTATATTTTTCAGGTTAGACATTGTAGTTTTTCATGTCCAAAAGTTTGACCTGGGTCTTTTTTATATCTTCTCTATTTCCACTTAACTTTTTGAACATATGGAATACAGTTATAATAACTTTTTAAATGTTCTGGTCTTCTGATCCTAATTTCTGGGTCAATTTTGATTGATGGAGTATTCTGCTCATTATAGATCATGTTTTCCCACTTCTCTCCAGGCCTGGTAGTCTTTGCTTATATGCCAGACACAATGAATTTTATCTTGCTAGATGTTAATCCTTTTTCAAGAGACAGGGTCTCACTCTGTTGCCCAGGCTGGAATATAGTGGCACAACCCTAGCTCACTGCAGCCTTGAACTACTGGGTGCAAGCAATCCTCCCATCTCAGCCTCTCAAGTAGAAAGGTAATAAAACTGGAGGAAGAAAACTTGACTACAGTTCATGCCAGCCTGACCAGCTAATTTTAAATTGTTTGTAGAGATAGTCTCTCTCTCTCTTGCCCAGGCTAATCTCAAACTCCTAGCCTAAAGCTATCTTACTGCCTTGGCCTCCCAAAGTGCTGGGATTACAGGCATGAGCCACTGTGTCTGGCAAAAAAGATGATAATCTTTCATAAATTTGTAAAAATGCACAAAGTCAGGAAGGAAGGATTCTTACTCTCTCATTCCCCAGTCAAAAATTAATATATCTCTAATAGACTCCATTACAAGTTCTCCAGGATCCATATTTACATGGTTGCATAAATAACTATTAAAAGATAACCTAGTCTGATGTTGATGAAAAATGATAAAGGCCAAGCATGGTGAATCACACCTATAATTCCAGCACTTTGGGAGGCCAAAGGGAGACAACTGCTTGAGGCCAGGAGTTCGAAACCAGCTGGACAATACAGCAAGACACCATCTCTTTAAAAAATAAAATTAAAAGTAAACTAGCTGGATGTGGTGGCACGTGCCTGTAGTCTCAGTTACTTGGGAAGCTGAGGTAGGAGAACGACTTGAGCTTGGGGGGTTGAGGCTACAGTGAGCCCTGATCATGCATTGCACTTCAGCCTGGGAGACAGAGCAAGGCCCAGTCTCCAAAAAAATAAAAAATAAAAAATAATATAAAAATCTCACTGAAAACCAGAAAATTTCAGGTTTGTTCTCTCAGTGAGACCTCATATACTGTAATACTCATTCACAATGGCATGTTTTCCTTGGGTTGGGAAATAAATTACCAAAGTTATAAATTCAAGGGTTAAAATTGATAGCAGAATGCAGGCAACCAGTTTAAAATTTCAGTTGCTGCCTCTTCCTCAACTGTGTTATTCCACCCTCCAGAAAGTTCACCATCCTTTGTATACCCTGAACTTCTTTTCTGAAGTTTTATTACCTAAGCGGTGATGTGTTTGCCAAAAGTGCTACTTGAATCAGACCTACAAGGAATGGCAACATCTTAAATTAACATGCCTACAATACAAGTTTTCCCCACTTCATGAATCGGTCTGGCACAATTCCCTGTTAATTTCCTGAACCTTAATGTGATCCACTGGCTCAGGGTCACTATCATTGTAAGTTACAGTAGTTTAGTAAGCCTAAATAAGGGTTTTATTCATTCCTGAGTGGGCAGAATGTATCAACATTAAGAAAAGGACTGGGGAGACAATTGGAGGTGATGTCAGTGAGGGTCACCTGTCCAAGGAAATAGCTGTGGCAGTACAATAGGGGCCATGGAGTGGAAAAGCTTGCGTCTTTTTGAATATACCTAAGAGTTGTAGGTCCTAGACATAAAAGAGAATGAAACAAGTAAGCAAAGAGGTAGTACACCAAGTACAAGAATCACATAAAACTGAAATCAGGAAAAAAGGCAAGAAAGAGTAAATGAAGGGTCAGATTTGGTTATTGTGGAAAGTCAGATTTTTCATGATGAACTGCTAGAGGGCACAGTCATGCTATCCTGAAAATAAATCACCTGAAAGTATTCAACCTCATTAAGAAACTGTGCTTGAAGTTCTCTTTCAAGAGAATGAGAAGGTGCTCTAGATAAGGTACACAACGTTCTACGTCCTCCTGAACAAGCAGTCTGTTTCCTTTTGAAGATGAATCATATGCAGGCCTAGCTTCCTAGTAGTAACCTTCTACCTGTGAGGTACTCTTCTGCTGTGATGTGCTTGTGCTCACTGAGGATCATCTGGTATTAGTTAAAACTTTCAAACAGATTAAGGTGGTTATTTTTGTAGGTGTAGATTTGATTAGCACTTTCTTCTGCAGGATGATGACAAATGAATCTGTGGTCAGCATAAAAGAACTGACATGTTTCCCCAAATACTTACTTTACAGAGAATGACTGGCTCAGGGAGTTATTCTACCTCCGCCTCTCTTTGAAAATCACCCAGGGTAATCAGCTGAACCAGTGGCACTACATATCACCATCTAGGCGATGTACTCCATATATGTGAATGGTGCCTCCTGGAGTTGTGCAAAGCAGCGACCTGTCTCTAATATGAAGTTTAACTTCAGATTTACACTAACTGAACTGCTTAAAAATTCTTTAATTGTAAAGGCCACTGCCAAGGACTAGGCCAGCTTAGTTGCAATCAAACTATCCTCAGGTTAATTTTAACATACCAAATATTTTCCATGTCTTTCAAAGCCTTCTATCACACACTATAGTATCAGCTTTTCTGTAAGTTTCACTTGGTACAGTTTCCTAAACATAAGACAGGCTAAGACAGAAAAATATTTAAAAAGTTATATTTTCCCAAGTAATTAAATGCTTTGTCTTTATAATATACTCTTTTATCTCCTCAAATATTCATATTTCTATCTTTTAAAAAATATATAAACATTATTTAAAACAAAGCTCTGGGGACTCTGGTTTAAAAGAAGGAAAAAAATCACTGGTATATTTAAAAGGCAACTCAATGTACAGACTGATTTTCTGCAACTTGCAAACTCTTCTACTTATGGTATCATTTTTCCTAGAAGATAATGACAGATTTCTTCACAGATTCAGGCCAAATTAGCTTTTTTTCTGACTCCTCAGTTCTCTAAGCTTCTATTTTATGTCTTTATCCTTCTATCCCACACATCTTCCTTAATTTTAAAATGCTTATAATTTCAAAGTTGTCACTGTTCAATGCTCTAACATTAAGACTTTTTTTTTTTTTTGGAGACAGAGTCCTACTTTGTCACTCAGGCTGGAGTGCAGTGGCACGTATAGCACACTGCAGCTTCAACCTCCTGGGCTTGAGGGATTCTCCCATCCCAGCCTCCCAAGTAGCTGGGACTACAGGCCTGTGTCACCACGCTTGGCTAATTTTTGTGGTTTTTTTGGTAGAGATGGGATTTCACTATGTTGGCCAGGCTAGTCTTGAACTCCTGAGCTCAAGCAATCCACCCATCTCAGCCTCCCAAAGTGCTGGGATTATAGGCATAAGCCAACATGCCTGGCACATTAAGACTTCTTAATGGCGATACTAAAGCAATATTTTCCTACTATGTTACAAATACAAAATTAGAGTACTACAAACAGAATACTATCTTAACTGGTTTTACTTTCTCATGTATATGGAGAATGGTTAGCAGGCAACTAGAAATATAAAGTCTTTTTCATTATCAAAGTTAAAGACCCCTAAGATATGATACAAACTTACGTATTTCTTCCACGACTTGTGGATCACAATCTTTGTATTTTTCTACTTCTGCCTTTAGCTGTTCCCTTTGGTCTCGAAGTGATGAAAGCTCTTTTGCTAGCCTGGTTCGCTCTTCCTGCATTCCAAATAGTTTTATGTTCAATTAAGACAAAATTCTGTATGTTGTAAGGTAATACATTTTATAACAATTTCATTTCTCATAAATGATGTGCATTAGACTTTTGATATTATATATATAAGCATACACACACAGATAGTCACAGTATAAGAACAAGCTCAATTCTCATCTTTCCTGAAATCTCAAGCATCTTTAATATATATTGAATAACTAAATGGGAGTTAATATGCAGAATAGAATGCTCACAAATAGGTGAGAGGTTCATGTTAGAACTCTAAGATGACCATGTCATCGTATGTTAGAGAAAAAATTATACTACTTTTTGAGTAGTTTCACAAGGCTATATATGTAAGTAACATTTTAAGACAACATTGATCATTATACAATTATCTTTAACAGTGTTCTAGACAATTTTTCAATTTTTAAGAATATTTTAATATATCCTTAATATTTTATATACATTTAAAGAAATAACACAATTGTAGCTTGAGGCCTCCCACTACCTATTCTTTAAAGGTAAACCAGAATAAAGCTTCAAAATACAATATAATCCAATAAAAACCATTTGAAATGTCTAGCCATATTTCTCACTAGCAGGTGGAAGTCATAGTGCTATACGTATTCATTTTGTATTTCTGAAACCTGAAAAGCCCAAACAAAAACCAAATGTTCGCAAAGATTATAGTACAGAATCATAGGATAAATCCGAGGCAAAATCAAGTAAAGTTCAAACTGCTTAACACGACTTGTAAGGTTCCCAACTACCTTATATTTTTTATTTGTATTTTTCTACTTTGCTTTTAGCTGTTTTGTTTGGTTCCAAAGCGAAGACAGTTCCTTTGCTAGCATTTGTACAAGAGACTGCGTATACAGAGCAGCACGCTCAGAAGCAGCACGCCCCAACAGAACTCTCAGCAGTGAGGAAAACTTTCTAGATCTGCACTCTTCACTGCAAGACCCACTAGCCACATGTGGCTACTCAATATATGCAATGTGGCTACTGTGACTGAGAAACTAAATTTAACTGTAGCTAATTTTTATTTAAATATAAATAGCCACACATGGTTAGTGTATATCATACTTCACAGCTCAGGAGAGATTTTAAAATAACTAGAATATAAGAAGATAAGTCATTATTTGCCATCAATACCCAAATTATACATGCTTCAAAAGGAACACTGTCACCAAGTGTGGTGGCGCCTGCCTGTAGTACCGGATACTCAGGAGGCTGAGGCAGGGGGATCACTTGAGCCCAGGAGTTCAAGGGCAGCCTGGGCAATACAGAGATACTCCATCTCTAAAGCACAAACCAAAAAACAAAACAAAACAAAACAAAATCAAGAGGAGAAAAAAAGACAGGAGAAGCAGAGTGGTGAACATCCATTGTGAATACAATGATAGTTCTCCAGGTATCACGCATTGAAACAATCTTAGACAGTCACTATCATTGAGATCTTTGCCAAATTATTTAACCTCTTTGTGCCTCCAGTGCCTCCAGCAAAATGGAGACAGTAACGGTAGCCACCTCCCTAGACTGCTGGTAGGATTCAATAAATACACAAAATGCATTTAGAACAGTAGTTGCCTGGCTCAGAGTAAGCAGAATACACATGTTAGCTATTTTTCTTCTTTACCAACAGCAGGATCACCACCATCATCAAGAATAATATCTAGCAGATAGGCGCTAGGTAGTTCTGAAAAGTCCTGGCTGGTAAGATCAGGATGAGCACAAGACTTGATCTTTCTTAGGAACATTTCTGAACCATTAAGCTCTTCTGATATCTGCAGGCGGCAACTATGTTTGCTGATGTGTTTTTCCCTACAAGATGTACTTGTTTCAGTGGATTAACAGTAGACTGGCTGACAACTTCAGGGCAAGTGTATGTCACCATTAGTTGAAGGTGGTTCTACAAGTTATTGCCAGTGTTTAAAAAAACAAACAAAAGGATCAAATAAAGTGGTAGTTGCTATTGTCAACTGAGGAAGAAATAGAACAGCTTCAGGTTATGCCCAGAATTTACCTTTCCTTGAATATTCTTTAGAAAGGACTATTCTCCAATTCCTATCTGTGATTGTGCTGATGATTCACATAAAACAATATATGTGAAATAACTTTGAAAGCATAAAGCCACTGTAAAGCTTTGCTATATCCCTTTCTACTATGTGACAAGTTTTCCAGTTGCTTTCTTTCCCAATCAAGTGATACAAATAGAGGCCCAGATGAAATGCTTAGTGGCTCATGTTGATCTTCAATATTTTTTAAAGTCATAAGTCTATAGTTCAGATAATGATGAAAATAGAAAGTAAAATGATTTTTTAAAATCTCTAACCTAATACTTAGAAAAATATTGCACTTTAAAAAAAAAGGTCAATATTTATTTTAAAAATTTTTAAATATTACAAGGCCACAAAGATACTATGTTGATGGTTTTCAGTTTGTTCTATACAATTTTTTTTAAAAGACTCTCAAAAATTTACATAAACATTTATACAGGGCTTACCACGTACCAGGTCCTCTTCAAGGGGCTTTGCAAATATTAACTAGTTTAATCCATACAATAACCCAATGAAGTATAATAGATTTTATTATTCCCCATTTTGCAACAGAGAAAAGTGAAAACAGAATTTAGGAGACTTTCAAACCCAGGCAGTCTGGCTCTAGGGTTTATGTTTCTATGCTATGCTACCATATATAATAATAACAAAATCTAGACTCACAATTAGTGAATCCTACTGGGTCAAACGTTCATATCCTTGGCTATGAGCTCCTTTTCTTCTGGTAGAAATGCATCCTCCTCACAGGAAGCTCTGTGTCCTTACTCTAATATGTAGAATTGCCATTATTAAAAGAATCTATAGACACAAACTTACCGTTTCACATCGGCCAATTTTAGCTTTTTCAATGCTTTTCTGCAGGCTTGCATGCTTTTGGCTTCCCTCAGACAACTAGAGAATCAAAAACAAATAAAATAGCTTGCTAAGACAAACTGCCATGTAGTCATGTAGTAGTTTATGAAAACAAAGTTGGCCAGGTGCAGTGGCTCGTAATCCCAGCACTTTGGGAGACCAAGGCGGGTGGATCACGAGGTCAAGAGATGGAGACCATCCTGGTCAACATGGTGAAACCCCGTCTCTACTAAAAATACAAAAATGAGCTGGGTGTGGTGGCGCACGCCTGTAGTCCCAGCTACTTGAGAGGCTGAGGTTGCAGTGAGCCGAGATAGGGCCACTGCACTCCAGCCTGGTGACAGAGCAAGACCCTGTCTCAAAAAAAAAAACAAAAAAAGAAAACAAAGTCAAACACTATACTGGGAACTAATTTCTCCAATCTGAAGAAAACCAAAGACCATTAATCATTAGGGTACACTGGAAAAAAAAAAGTTTAAAAAACATTTTCTTTTTATTCCATGCCAATACATGAAACAAATATCATGCCTCTAATCTTTTCCACATAGTCTCTATTTATTAGGTTCCCCACTCCTACTCCAAGTAACTTGAGGTCTATTATTTAGTTAGAAATTGAACTTGAAGGCCAGGCACGGTGACTCATGCCTGTAATCCCAGCACTTTGAGAGGCCAAGGCAGGCAGATCGCATGACCCCACGAGGTGGAGACCGGCCTGGGCAACACGGCAAAGCCCCATCTCAACAAATACAAAAAAATTTAGCCAAGTGTGATGGCATGACCCTGTAGTCCCAGCTACTGAAAAAAAAAAAGGAAACAAAAAAGAAACTGAATTTGAAAATCCAAAAAAATCTCTTTTCTATAAATTCTCTCTGCAAATTTCACTTCACTTCCGACTAAAGTCTTTTCAAAATACCTGACCTATTTCACTGTCAATAATAAATTTGTCACTTATTATTATTACATAAAGTACTTCACAAGGAATTGCATAGTTACATATCATGTTCTCAAGAAAAAAATCTGCTAGCCTGTTGCCAAGTTTAGATATGTTTTATATCTTTTTCTCTTTTTATTCTTGAGATAGTGTCTCACTCCAGTGCCTAGGCTGGAGTGCAGTGTCATGATCATGACTCCCTGCAACCTTTGCCTCCCAGGCTCAAGCCATCCTCCAACCTCCACCTCCCAGTAGCTGGGACTGCAGGTGTGCACCACCACAATCAGCTATTTTAAAAATTTTTTCTAGAGATGGAGTTTTGCCATGTTGCCCAGGCTGGTCTTGAACCTCCAGGCTCAAGCAATCTTCCGACCTCAGCCTCCCAACATGCTGGGATCACAGGTGTGTGCCCTGTTGCTCAGCCTGTTTTATATATCTTAAAAGTCATCAGTTTAAACTTTTTACTCAGCTTAGAAAGTAGATAAGTTGTATGTGGAAATGGATTAAATAACACCAGCATAAAGAGACTACAGATATTGAATGTTGATTAGCATGTGGGTAGGCCTACACATCAAAAAGGACTGGTTAATTTCAGAGTGTTGGCTTCTTGTCTCAATTTTGTTAATCTCACCTGGGTCTACAAGTAAACAAATAATCACAGGAAATTCTGAATACTAAATTCTCCACATCTTTTGCTATAAACTAGTTAGAAATTACAGATTCATTTGATTGGGTAAGGACCTTCTTAAAAAATATTTCACTCCTCCCTCATTCTTGAATTACAAACATTTAGAAAATATTTAATAATTGGATGGATTTAATTTCTGTTGGCTGATTATAAAAAACTAACTGTTCACGGCCGGGCGTGGTGGCTCACACTAATCCCAGCACTTTGGGAGGCCGAGGCGGGCGGATCATGAGGTCAGAAGATCGAGACCATCCTGGCTAAGATGGTGAAACCTTGTCTCTACTAAAAATACAAAAACAAAATTAGCCGGGCATGATGGCAGGCACCTGTAGTCCCAGCTACTCCGGAGGCTGAGGCGGGAGAATGGCATGAACCCGGGAGGTGGAGCTTGCAGTAAGCCAAGATCCCACCACTGCACTCCAGCCTGGGTGACAGAGCGAGACACTGTCTAAAAAAACAAACAAACTGCTCCCCTACCCCAAAAACACACACACACACACAAAACTAACTGTTCACAATATGATCTAGTCATATGTAGAGAGTGGATAGTATTTAGATATCCTTTTTTTGCTTGAAATTCAGAAATACTATCTTCAAAAAGTTGGTAAGTTTACCCTTGCTTTGGGAAATCTTTCACGTCTCAGTACGCATAAAGGGACCGTTGTCAGCTTTCCTTTAACAGCTCTCCAGTCACTGATTCTAATCCATAGCATGAACAAGATCTATAGATAATGCCAGGCAGACACCACTACAAACCAGTTATACCTCTCCTTGCAAGTAATTATATTCCTAAGTTAAAAAAAAAATCTGGTGTATACATATATTTTTAAGACGGAGTTTCTCTCTTCTTGCTCAAGCTGGAGTGCAATGGCACTACCTTGGCTCACTGTAACCTCTGCCTCCCAGGTTCCAGCGATTCTCCTGCCTCAGCCTCCGGAGTAGCTGGGATTACAGGCACCCACCACGACATCCGACTAATTTTTCGTATTTTTAGTAGAGAGCAGAGATTGGGTTTGACCATGTTGGCCAGGCTGGTCTCGAACTCCTGACCTCAAGCAATCCACCCACCTCAGCCTCCCAAAGTACTGGGATTACAGGCGTGAGCCACCACACTTGGCCAAAGATCTAGTTCTTTTAAAAGAGAGCTCCTATTTATAAAATAAAGTCATATTTTAAAAGTTAATATTAGCCTGACCAACATGGGGAAACTCTGTCTCTACTAAAAATACAAAAATCAGCCAGGAGTGGTGGCGCACACCTATAATCCCAGCTACTTGAGAGGCTGAGGCACAAGAATCGCTTGAACCTGGGAGGTGGAAGTTGCAATAAGCTGAGATCATACCACTGCACTCCAGCCTGGGCAACAGGGTGAGACTCTATCTCAAAATAAAAATAAATAAATAAAATAGAAGTTAATATTCCACCCTGAAGGACCTGCCTGAAATAATTAAAATATATACATAACATTTAAATTTAGGAGTAAATAATTTTTTCCAATTAAAAAAACACACATATTTTAGCATAACATTTTTCCATTAAAAATGTTTTTAAAATAACCAGACAGACACTATCCAAACAGTTACTAATTATATAAAAGACAATAATGAAAGGACATTTTAAGGACATTTTATATATATACACACACACGTATATATACACTTTTTTTTTTTTTTTTTTTTGAGAAAGGGGCTGGAATGCAGTGGCCGGATCTCGGCTCACTGCAACCTTTGCCTTCCGGGCTCAAGCAATCCTCCTACGTCAGCCTCCCAAGTAGCTGGAACCACAGACACATGCTACCACGCCCGGCTAATTTTTTTATTTTTTTTGTAGAGATGGAACTTTGCCATGTCGCCCAGGCTGGTCTTGCACTCCTGGGCTCGAGCAATTCATGTACCTGGGCTTCCCAGAGTGCTGGGATTACAGGCGTGAGCCACCACACCCAGCCAGGATATATACCTTAATTATATTAATTAAGAGTCTTTCAGGTACTACACATCTGTTTGGAATTACTTACAACTTAAAAGTATTTGAAAAACAGCTCATTCAGAAATTTCTTAATTACAAAAATAATCTTACATATTTCAAATGTGAAGCATGGAATTCATAACTTGTCATTTTAAGTATCTTGGTAATAGAGGGAGGCACAATCCAAATGATGTTATTAAAGGAAAAGCTTCTGCTAATTATCCTAAGTACTGAAATAATTTGGTTCAACTCAGTAGTGAAGGACTCTTGGCTCACTGCATAGTTCTTAAAATCCCAACCACTGGAAACAAACAATGAAAGCAACTCTTGTGGGGCCGCCCATGCTATCAGCTTTTCATCTATACAGTTGCACTACTGCCATAGTTCCGAACCTATACCTTGGAAATAAACCAAATGCAGCCCTCATGTGATAAAAGTTGAGATTTCTAGTCACTGTATCAACTATCTGAACCAGTAGTTACCAAACTTTAGCATATAGTGGAACCCAAAGGGCTTTTTAAGGCACAGGTTCCTGGGCTCTACCTCCCAAGTTTCTGAATAGCACATCTGCGGTGGGGTCCAATAACGTGCATTTCTAGCATGTTCCCAGGTGATGCTGCTAGTTGGGGACACCACACTTCTGATAACTAGTGAACTAAACAGGAATCTATTTTCTTATAGTAACAAACTCAACTAAAACACACAGGATATTTATCTATAGAAAAATGTTATCTAGTTCACAAGCAAAGATGAATTACTGCTAAATGCTGTAGCCCGAACAAGAAAACATCTTAATGTTTGTCTTTAAAAGAAATACAAAAGTCCACATTTACAAAAATAGAGAGGTAATAGCCTGTATTTTTAAAAAGGCATGGGCTGGGCGCAGTGGCTCACACCAGTAATCCTAGCACTTTGAGAGGCCAAGGCAGGTGGATCACTTGAGGTCAGGTGTTCGAGACCAGCCTGACCAACATGGTGAAACCCCGTAACTACTAAAAATACAAAAATTAGCTGGGTGTGGTGGCATACACCTGTAATCCCAGCTACTCAGGAGACTGAGGCAGGAGAACTGCTTGAATCGAGAAGGCGGAGGTTGTAGTGAGCCAAGATCGCACCACTGCACTCCAGCCTGGGTGACAGAGCAAGACTTCATCTCAAAAAAAAAATTAATAAACAATAAAAAGGTATTTATCATAATATTCCTTTAAAGAGCAAAGTCTTCAACATTCTATAATGCAACTGATAATGGCAGGAGGCAGACAAATGCCTAGGCAGATAGGGGTGGGTCCCTGGTGAAACCCCACCTCCAAGCCAAAGACAGTTTAAAGCCTGAAAGCCAAACTACAAATTAAATCCACAGACTAGATTGAGAACCCATCTTCCTATTTCGTGGCTTTCCTCTGATCCCCACCCTTCACCTATTTTACATATACCTACCCTTTCATAATTGGTTTT